CAAATTTTTTTATTAAAAAAAATATGACATTTATATTGTAAATAATAACACAGATTCACATTTCTGGTGTCTACAAGTTTTAAACACTATTGCAAAAATAAAAGTTAAATGTAAATATAGAGAAATATGGGTTGTTATTATTTTGTTGGGTTTAGTGAGTTATACTCTGTTGACAGTGGTTGTTGTGTACTATGCCAGACTAGAGTCAAGGCATAGCAACCAAAACGAAACTAAAATTAAATAAGTGTGTCTGTGTCAGTATTCAAGAATTTCCTAACAATATGGCATGTATTCAATATAGTGGCCTTCTGTAGTGTGATGTATGTATTTCTATTCAATTGTAATGTTTCCAGGCTTTTGTGTAATGTGTGTGGTATCACAGCTCTACAGGAGAGAACAACAGGTACAATAAGCACCCTTTTCATCCTACACAGATGCCTTATTTCCTGGGCAAGTTCTGTGTACTTGCTAATTTTTTCAGTGCATGTGTCTTTCTACATTGTGAGTGTTTGGAATGGCTATGTCTATAATGTATGTGATTTTATTGTGTTTGCCAATGAGTGTGATGTCTGGTCTGTTGTGGTAAATTGTTTTATCTGTGATTACGGCTCTGTCGTCGTACATTTTGTGCATGTTGTTTTCCAATACTGTCTGTGGAATATACTTGTAGTATGGTTCGTGAATGCCTACCAATTTGTGTTTCTTTGCAAGCTCTTGGTGTATTATATTTGCTACTTGATTGTGTCTGTGTAAGTAATCTGTCTGTGTCAAGAGCTTGTATCCAGAAGTTGTATAGTTTCTGGCATGATGTGACATTTTCTGCATGTGTCATTTGTGAGTGTTGTATCTTTGAGTATGTGTTTTCTGTAGTTTTTAGTATTTCTGACCTGATCTTGTATGGCAATCATGAATCCTTCTGTCTTCCCAAAGAGGCATCCCCGATCTAACCAGCTGTTTGACACAGTTTAGTCAACAAAATCCTGGGCTAGATCTTACGGATACCTGCCATGGAGTGCTTTTTGATTCCATGATTGCTTAATAGTGTCTGTGCTTTTTATATGTTGTGTCATGTCTATATGATGTGAGTGTAAGTTTAATGGTGTGCTATTTGAGTCTGCTAGAGTTATGGCTTTATGTAACTGTGATGTTTCTCGTTTCTTGTAGAAAAACTCTCGCAGTGACTATATTTGTTTGTAGTGAAGGTTTATAATGTCAATCAGGCCTTGTGTATGTTCTGTTAGTTTGGCTTGTTGGAATCCTAAATACTTATAGAACTTGCCCTCTTCCATAGATTCAATAATGTCTCCATTTTCAAGTGCAGAATCTTTCTTCAGGATTCCTTTTTCTATATGAAATGTTTTGCATTTGTCTAAGCCAAACTCCATTTGTATGTCCTTGGTGTTTGAATGTGTGATTTGTAGGAGTTGAAGAAGTTGTTTTTGTGTGGATGCATAAAGTTTTATGTCGTCCATGTACATGAGATGTGACAGCGTAAACTGTTGTTTTTTCATGTCTGATATTGTAGCCATATTGTGTGTTATTTAACATGTTGGATAATGGGTTCAGGGCTAGGCAGAACCAGAGAGAACTCAAGAAATCTCCTTGAAAAATTCCTCGCCTATTGAATATTTGGTTTTTGTTTGTTTGGAAGTGTTACTAACCCTGAGATGCAGTGTTGTTCTCCAGAGCTGCATAGTGTTTTGAAAGAATGCAATGAGTGATGGATGTATTTTGTACAGTACATATGTAGAATATGTAGCAGCCAACTGTGTGGAATGCTGTCGAATGCTTTACTGTAGTCTATATATGCCATGTGTATGTTTCTGTGTTGTTTGTGTGCTTGACATAGAATGACTGAATCTATGAGTGAATGTTCTTTGCATCTCCTGTGATTTCTACGGCAACCTTTTTACTGTTCCGTAAGAATGTCGTGTTCTTCAACATGTTTGTATATTTTGTTTGTGATACAGGATGTCAATAATTTGTAGAGTGTTGGAAGACATGTAATTGGTCTGTATTGTGTGGGGTCTGTGGTGTTGTTATTTTTAGGTTTCATGTAGGTGATGCCCTGAGTAAGAAATTTTGGCATGTCTTGTGGATTGATGATGATGTGTGTTAGGTGGTTAGCTAGTTCCTGGTGCAGTGATGTAAACTTTTTGTACCAGAAATTGTGAATGTTGTCTACACCAGGTGCCTTCCAGTTGTGTGTTCTGTTAACAGCATGGCAGATGTCGTGTACGTTTATTTCAGCACAGGGCATAGTTGGTATGTTGTGCAAGTTTTTGTTCTCCTCCTCAATCCAGCCTGCATCAGCATTGTGTGTAACAGCACTGGACCAAAGAGAAGACCAATAAGTTGGGAGTTCTTGTTCTTTTGGTGTGCCACTGTGCTATGTATCAGTGTTTGTTTTGATACTGATTTGTCTGTAAAAGTTTTTTTGTTGTTTGTAAATAACTTATTTTGCTGTTTTTATAGTGTATATGTTTTGTATTGTTTCAGTCTACGTGCTTTGGCTGCGAGTTTCTGTTTTAGTGTATCGATGTATTCTGTAATGTGTGTGTTGTGATGTTCGTGTTTTGTGTGTGTTTTGATTTTCTTGAAAATGTTTTTGAGTTGTTAATTTGGGTGTTATACCTGGGCGACGTCCGAGCTGGTATCACACTTTGATCTGGTTACTACCATATTAATTATCTCCACAGAATGTGGGTGTGGTCACTCTTAGCTTCCTTTCTCCCCATAGACCTTACTGGTATGGGTGTCCCTACCAGGAGCTTGTGCTCCAGCCTGCATTGCTCTATGGTTCAGTAAAATTACTGGGCTCTCCCACCACGACTAGGTGGTGACCACGGGAGAGTTATCCAGACTTTGATGACAATAGACTAAGGAGAGTGCAGAAATTAAATTTGCTGTAAGACATGATGTTGCATTTTTACTGTTTTGTATAATATCTGGTCCTTGCCTGATGCATTTAATGAATGTTTCTCCTTACATTTCTTATATTGTCATATATTGTACATTCTAATTGCACAGTGTAATAATGATGACTCAACCCATAAAGACAGCCTAGAAAAAAATTGACCACTGAATAAATCTTCCAATACACTTCAGTACAATACAGTAAATTTTCATAGATGTTTCATCTCTTTCTCGGTGTGAATAGAGTAAAAAAATAATTATTTTGGGGTGGACAAATCTATTTTGTCTGAGTGGTGTCTTGTGTATTTTGTCAAACTTTCGTTATGATGAGATTATATGTATAAATCTAACTATATGAATTGCATATAATTATAATTTTAATTATATAATTTTTAATTGTCATATTTAGGTACTAGGTGTTAACATATTAGGAAGATTTTTGCTTAATGCTGATAAGAATATAAGGTAAGGATTAATGTAATAATATAAACATTTAAGTTATTTTTAATTATTGTAGAAGTTTATTATTTTGGATTATACAGTACTGTCATTTTATATATGTATTACATGTCAGCATGTATTTCATGAAATAAAATTCAGTGCAAATTTGTGCTCCACTCCAAGTAGTAGTCCCAGATGATTGTCTAGACACAACCTTTACAATAAAAAAATAATGTTAAAATACATTAAAAATGTTTTATGTTTTTACTACGATGAATAACATTTTAGTCTGATGTTTTGGAATATATAGAGCAAAATTTTATTATACAATATTGAGTACACTACTTGAGAAAACTACATGCAAACTATAGTATTTACTGTAGTCAGTAGCATTTAGTAGTTCTTCATGTTTTGAATTATAGAAGCTGAAGAAGCATGGTTTGCTGACTGTAACAAGTCTGATTCAGCGGATAAGCATAACCATTCACTATCTCTTAAAAACAAATCTATTTACACTCTTCAAAAATAAAATCACAACATTGCGAAGGAATGGGTGTTGTCACATACATATTGCTGGACCAGTAGAGGTAACAGAGATATGCAAATGATTGAAAGAACAAACAAAGATATGCAACAGACACCTGTTTATTCGGTAACGAATAAGGCCCCAAGGACAGCTATACAGGCTGCTATAATGTAGGGCATACTGTCAATGATCAATTAATGGTTGCATGTTGTCTATTGTATATTGGTGATGGTTCCTGACACACTTCACTTTGGATGAGGTTCCATAGGTGTTTGATGGAAAAGAGATCCAGTAAGGCTGCTGGCCAGGAAAGGATGTGAATTTTGTTCAGGCTGATGAGTTTGCTGTATGACTTGCAGTTGGGCATTGTCTTGCTGGAACACAGTGTGAAGTGTGGCCAAATCACAGGTTCCACAGTTTGTGTGCTATACTGGTTTGCTGTCAGAGTACTAGAAATATGCACCAGGTCCATCTACTGATTGAACATGATGTCTCCCCAAATTACGAAGCCCAGTATGATGCTCAGCGAAAAGACCTGGTACAAACCTTTTCCCAGCATACCACCACACCTGTTCATGGCTATTATTTCTCCACAGACAGAAACAGGATTTTTCCATAAAAAATATTTGATGCCATTCAGTGATACAGTTGTGATGATGATGACACCACACTAGATGTGCAGCCCTGTATTGAGTAGTTGATACCCTGGTTGTCATGCATGCAGCCCAACTTCATGCAATCTGTTGAAAATGGTTTGGATGGAGACAGATGCACCCATTGATGGCGACTGGCAGCTTTGGATGTCATGTACTGTGGTGAGTGGGTCCTGATGGATCATTTGGCGAATCTGTCAGTCTGTGTACTGTTGGGCACTGGTGCAATCCACTTTCTATTTAGCTTGTCTGCAGATGTTCCTGCATCCACTGTGTCACATATTGCTGGATGGTACTCACATCATGCCAAACATATGTGGCAACTGCAAGCATTGGCAAACCAAGGTCATGCAGCTCCAGGATACAGTCTCATTCCTAAGCCATTAATTGGTGGTATTCAGCTCATAGTCTCCATTTTCTATGTTTCTTCGAAAATTCAGCTGCCATGAACCATCACTAATAGCATTTATGGCTTGAGTCAGCTGATGGTCTTTATAGCCCAAAAACTGATGCTTTATAGCCCAAAACTTTATAGCCACATAACCTGATGCATATGCAAACTTAATCATTTGTATATCTCTCACATCTACCAGTTCTGCAATTTTCATATGGCTATAAGCATTCCTTCATGGTATTGTGATTTCACTTTTTTAAGGAGTGTGTAACAATCCAGCCTAAAAAAATTCCCTATAATTTTAGGTCAATAATTTTATTATATATATAATCTTACAGAAGACTTATGTCTTAAAGATAAAATTAATAAGATTATCTTTATGTATTTTTATTTTGATAAGAAAATTATTAAATTATTCTGAATAAATTGTTAATATCAAATATTGGTTATACTCTGAAGCTGAGTTGTATAAATTCCAAAAAAATTTTAAAATAAAAAATATCAGTCTTTAAACTGGGTTTTTGGTTTTTATAATTTTAATTAATATTAATTAGATCAAAGAGTTATATCTTCCACAAAGTGGACTGCTCTGTAACACTGAACACATCATAAAACCTAAGTTCTGTCCAATAACACTTATCCATCTTCCGCATCAGTTTAATCACATCTTTGCACTCATGATTGGTTCATTGATTATTTAAATTCAAATTCTGCTAACATTCTTATTAAAAGGTTCCATAATAGAACAGTTAGCTCTAAACTTGAAGATCTTGGAAGGAGATAGAAAATGTTTGTAACTCTTAATTTCATGGAATTTGGGTTTTGTAATGTGTTTGTGTAATATTAATATTAGAATTTAAACATGGACAAATTTAACAAAATGAATGCAAAGTTCAATTAGTGGCAACTTTAGCTGTTACATCTGCTGTAATTCTGTATAAAATTACATCTGCTATTAGTAGATATAATTTTATACTGATGTAATTTAACTAATCTGCTTATAAATGATGATTAATTATGAAACTAATGTAAATCTAAATTTAGTTTCAAAATGAAATTGAAGCAATGTTAATTTTATTTAGAATTTATTAATTATAAGTAAAATTTGTTATAGATTTTTATTATAATAAAAATCATTAACAAATATTTTAAATATATTTATTAATGTAAGTACATATTTCAGAAATTAAAAGATTTGAGCAAAGAATGAGACTTGAGTGGATATAGTTGAAAATGATGAAAATTTGAATGACAATGAAAATCTTTTTTCACTAAGACAAATTCTTATGAAAAATGTTCTTAAGTTACTGAAACTGAAAAAATATTATGTAAAATTATTAATGAATAGAGATGTAATAATACTAATGTAACAGTGACATTACATATTATATTGTGCATATTTTAAATATTAAAATTTTTATATAAATATATAATTGAACAACTTCAGTAATTCAATTAACCAAATAACTGTAATTATATCCAGCAATAGTTATTTGTGATTAAAAGTTTTATATAATTTAAATGATAAATTGGAAACATTTAAATGAAAAAAATAAATATTCTGATAAACCTTAAAACAATTTTTAGGTATGTTGCTCTGAATACATTACTACAAATAGTACAAGCTGATTTTAATGCTGTCCAGAGGCATCGCAGCACAATAGTAGATTGCTTAAAGGATCCTGATGTATCTATACGAAGGTAAGTATTGTAGATAGGTTTAGCATTTTCAAAATGCTTTGTCACTAATAATTATATAAAACTCGTTAGGCGGGCCATGGAGCTTTGTTTTGCCCTAATCAGTGCTAATAATATTAGAACAATGACGAAAGAGTTGTTAGTATTTTTGGAAAAAGCTGATCCAGAATTTAAATCTCAGTGTTCATCTAATCTCTTTATTGCTGCTGATATGTAAGTAATATTATATTGTATAAATGCTAAATATTTTTTCTGAATAATTAATGAAGTAAATTTTTATTCATATTTATAAAAGTAAGCTATATACACTATTAATAATTAAAATACATCAAGTATTTTATTGTTGTTGTTATATCTTTAAATAATTCTTTACTTTAAAAGTTAAGTTGTTGTATTAAGATATCTGAAATAAGACATACTAAACTCTATATTATTATTCAAACATTAGATAGTTTTTTTAAATACAGTGAAAACTGCTTAGGCGACCATCTGCATTCGACAGGCACCTGTCAAAACGGGCAAAAATTTCTGGCACAGAATAGTTTATCCATAGAGTCTTCGTATAAGTTACCTGTATTAAACGACCACTTGTGTAACGCGACTGTGGGCATCAATTTTTGGTCCGAAACAACATACAACACCTGTAATAAGCGACCACTTTCGCAAATGTATCTGGTCTAAACTATTGCAAGAAACCACCTCAACAACGTTTCCAGTTCCTAATATAATGAATTAGTCTAAACTCTCGTTCGAACCCATCCCGGGACTTCTCTCACCCTCGAAATTAGGTGCAGGTGTTAATAAATTAGTCTAGCATTATTTTACCCTAGATCTACAGTATTTTCCTTGGGGATGTAAAATATTGTACACGATACAATTAATTGGATGATCTCATCGTTTGATAAAATCTATTTTTATTTATTTATTTTGAAGCTCATATACAGTACACTTGCGATAAATAGTTTCTGTATCAACCTACCTTAATTCCACGATAATTTTAAAAAATAACATCCAAGTCATTTTCGCAGGCAAAATATTCAAAAAACAATAAACGCATTAATGCAAAAATCAGTTTTACTTCCCTTTTCGATTCCGCGATTGTAATGAAATCATATAATGAGAAAAAAATTAATAAAATCGTTTTATTATTAATTAATAATTTTCTTATTGTACTTAATTAATTAAGAAAATATTTAAAAAATACAGTATTTTTCTAGTTAGAATAAGATTGAACTAACGAAAACCAAAAGCAAAGTGATGGAGAGATAGGATGCACTTGTATATCAATGACGTGTAATACACGTAACTGAGGAGCTAACGAAAAGAACCGAGTCGAATAAATTAAGTCGGAAAAAAGAAAGTGTGCATTATAATCGAGAAAATGCGATTATTGTATTAATCTTTATTGGTGTTAAATCTGTCTTATAATATGACGACTCCTGTAAATCGGGTTATCCGATAAGAATAAAATACAATACCAATATAGCCATATCGTTGAAAAAATTTGCTTATTTTTGCTCACCTCGAGTTTTGTTTAGTAGAAATGGCTACAAAGTGCGCAAAATATGTACGGAAATACGGTATTACAGCACCACCTGTATTGGATGACCACCTGTCTAAAAGACCACTTTTTGAAGGAACTGTGGGTGGTTGCCATAGACAGGTTTTACTGTATATGTTTTGAATTGAACTGTAACAATTTGTTCATCAGTTTCTCTCATCAGTTTCTCTCTTTTACTAGGAAATTTAAAAAAAAACTAATTTTTGAACAATGTCTTTTTTTGTGTATGATTTCTTTAAATAATAATACAGGATGGTGCACATAATATTGGACCCCATGACACAAAATACATGACAGGATGGGTGGACTCAAGACACAAAATACTGTTTTCAAGTTATATTTGTAAGCCAGTTGACTTCATATGAGCCTCACAAACACATACACATACAAATGCAACTAGAGAGAACACTTTTTCCTACCTCATCATTACTACCTCACCCAAATCCACAGTGATTTTACTCTAGAAAGGACAATCAGTAAGGAACTATGGCCACCCTACTCTATTGACTTATCACAGTGTGATTTTTCTTCTATCTTTTGATCTAAGATTTATATTTGACTCATCTTTATATTTATTTTTAATTATACAGAAATGAGCAATTTTACATTATAATTAAAAGTTAAAATAATAATTTAACGTAAATACTTATTTTTTTTTATTGAAGGTATGCACCTAATCGGAAATGGCATATAGATACTATGATTAAAGTTCTTACAACTGTAAGTGAAATATTTTAAAATATACAATATTTTAAAGCACTTCTAATAAAAATTATAATAAATTTTCAGGCAGGAAATTATGTTCGTGATGATGTTGTAGGAAATTTAATCCAGTTAATTTCAGAATCCAATTCTCTGAATATATATACAGTTCAGCAATTATGGAAACAATTAACAGGTGATTTAGCATTACGTCAACCACTTTTACAGGTTGCACTGTGGTGCTTAGGTGAATACGGAGATTTACTAAATTCTACTGAAGTTAAAGATGCCGATCCACCAAATGTAAGAAAAATTTTTCTAATATTTGTTCAGTGTATCTTCTCTTTAATATATAATATTTTAAATCAAAAATTGTCATTATTATTATTATTATTAATGAAGGTGTCGGAGGACCAAATTTTAGATTTATTTGAAAAAGTTCTTGGAGATATTCACATTACTTTGGTCACCAAAGAATATGCTATTACTTCATTAATGAAGTTGAGTGTTCGCTATGAAAATGCTGCACCGTAAGTAATTACATTTTACATTACAATAGAAAATACTTTTTCTATTTATAAATATAATCTTATTTTATTTACAGGAGAATTAAAAAAATTATAGATGTGTATGGTTCCAATATGAATATTGAATTGCAGCAAAGATCTACAGAATTTTCAACTTTATTCTCAAAACACAATCATTTAAGGTAAAAATCTAATATTTGTTGTTTATTTTTAAAAAATAACTATATAAATTCTTTATTTTAATTTTTAAATTTCAGGCCTAGTTTATTAGAACGAATGCCTCAAATGGAAAATAAATCTCATAATGAAAATATGCAAAATGGTCAAATAACAGATGATGAAGGAAATGAAACAGAACAATTAAAAGAACCAGAAAAAGAACAAAAGCTTATTCAAGAATCAGTATGTTATCTTATTACAAATAATTATTCAAAATTTTTAATGAAATACATTTAAAATAATATTTATTATGGTTTATTTAGAATATGTTATTAGATCTTTTGGGTGTTACAATTGAAACAAAATCCACAGAAAATTCAGCTCCTCCTCCTCCTCCAACAAAAGGAACTGATTTGTTAGATTTGTTAGGTGATATTGATTTTAATCCTAATGCCACAGGTAAATTTTTCTTTTCTTTGGATAATTTTCTCTTAATTCTTTGAAGTTATATCATAAAGTTATAGATTATAGATAATTTAGAATTATCTAAGTTTTCAATATAGCTTTTTGAACACATCAAAATTTGAAGAATGGTATATATTATAAATTTAGCATACTTTGTCAAAATAGACTTTAAAAAAGCATTTTCAAATGAAATGTCTCATATATATATCAATATATTGTAATCAATGAAAATTTGAGAAATATAACTAGATATTCAGTTATATGAAATATATAAACAGAAATTACATAGATAATGCAAGAATGATAGACAATGGAGCATTATCCAATGCATAAAAATTAATTTTTTATATTAAGTATCTTTGAATAAATAATTATTTTATATTATTAACATATACATATGATATACAGTATGGCATTATTTTATTATGAAATCCTATAAATATTAAGTTTTATTACATTTAAATATTTGTAAATTTAATTTATACAGACAGCTATATTATATAACTGTTTTATTTGAAGCTTGTTTTTAGAAATGTTAAAAATATTACTTTAATAAAATAGGACAGATTTTTAAATTTTTTTTATATATTAGATAGAAAGATTGTCTAGACCATTGAACATGTAACATTAAATTCTATCATTATTCCAAATTTTTCAAGTTATAATTGTTGACAACAGTCAAAATGTTGAAATTATAAATTAAAGTTTATGAAGAAATGCATGTATAATTAATATACAGAGAAATTTAACAAATAAAAAAATTATCTAATTTGGATCCCAAATTCTGATAAATTATTCCACATTCTGAATATCAAAATTTACCAAATGAAACAGATATAATTGCATAATATGAAGTTTTTGTCAAAAATTAAAATTGTGGTGATGACAGTATTAAAAATTTTTAGAATTAGCTTAAAATCAAGGAGAAAAACATTATAAAATCATTTTAAATTAGAAAGTCTGCAGTGTTGTCTAATGAAAATGAAAAAGTTTTTATTAGCTAGTACTGCAACATATATATGATATGTACTATATCATGTCCAGAATAAGTCGACATGAAGCCAGTGATCTAGCCATATGATTAGTAAGCCATATGATCTTTAATGATGCCCATCTGGTAGAAATCAGTTGACTGCTGCATAATCTGGTTCATCAATGAGACAATTGCCTTAATGCCAGTGGTGATTTTTTTCTAACTGGAATGAATTTACCAAGCCCAACAGCCTTCAAAGGGAAACTTTTTGATCATTCTTATAATAAACTGTTTTAAATACATTTTTTAATGTAATCCTATTGAATTATATACAAACCATATTTTGCCAGCTACAGCATAATTTTTCTAAGTGGTCAATAGAAGGCACTCTATTGACCATTTAGTGCAGTCTGATACTCAGACTGACTTTTTCATATTCTTTAAATAATAATTTTCTCAATGTTTAAAAACATTGAAACAAATAAAAATTATAAATTTCAGTTTTTTAAAACTGAAAAATATAATTTTTATTTGTTAGTATTTTTAGTGAAAACAATGAACATTTCTCTCAAAAATTTTTGCAGAATTTTTCAATTGAAGGTTACTTAAGGAACCCCAGAGTTCCATGGAACAGTTTTTTGAATACTAGTGTGGTCTAGATCAGGGGTCACCAAACTATGGCCTAGTTCATCTGGCTTGTTGCTGCACTGTGCCACAAATGAGCTAAAATATAATTATTGATATAGAAATACTATGAGATTGTAGATAAATTTACTATGTAGAAAAAATTAAAATAAGTAAAAATGCCAAAATTGGTCCAATCTGATTTTTGCATCTGACAGTAATATAGTTTTTAGGAAAATCAGTGAAATAAAAAATTTGGTGACTTTTGCATCTGACAGTAATATAGTTTTTAGGAAAATCAGTGAAATAAAAAATTTGGTGACTTTTGCGACTTTAGATATCAGAGTGCTTGCAATGAAGCTTTAAGAAAAGCGATTACGAGCTTGCTTCAGTGATTGTGTTTGTGTATTGGTAAATAAATATGTTGGTTGTCTTTATTTTTTGTATATTCAGTATGCTGTTTAGAACAAAATGGTTATATGGCCTGCGCTCGTCATTCTCACTAGTTATCTGGACTGCTCTGAAAAAAGTATGGTGACCCCTGATCTAGATGGATTATTCTAATACATCATTCTAAAATATTCTTAGAATGATGATAACAGAGCTATTTTATGTAACTTCATAATATTTATAATTACATCTTTCTTTGTACTACTACTGTGCAAACATTATAAAATGGTTTATCTTTGTGTCCATATTTTTTTGTTCACTCTCAAAAATTATCAATAGATACTATAGTATAATACTGAAATATCAGTATTTAAGGTATTGAATAACTTTTAAAATTAATTATTGAATTTTTTTTTTTAAATAGACAATACTGAATTACACTTGTCAGAAAAATCAAATAATTTTGGTGACTTTTCATCTCCAGTTTTAAATAGTAAGTTAATAGTTTATATACTAATACATAGAATATATAAGTTTTTCATTGAACATAACATACAAATAACACCTTATCCTTGCCGAGAAAATATTTATTTCATAAAAACAAACATTTTCAGCCTGATTCACAGGTCATCATTAGGTTGTGAATGAAATTAGAACTAAAGCGTTCCAAAATAGAATATAAATTCAAAAAATTAAATAACTTTCTATTTTGGAATGCTTTAGTTCTAATTTCATTCACAACCTGATTATGGCCTGTGAATCAGGCTGAAAATGTTTGTTTTTATGAAATAAATATTTTCTCGGCAAGGATAAGGTATTATTTGTATGTTATATTTTGTGGTTTGCTGAGTACTTTCTAATATAGTTTCTCATTGATTGAAAAAGGCTAATATACAATATTTTTCAGGTATACCTTCAATTTCTGCTTTTGAAAAAAATGGTTTAAAATTAGAATTTTCATTTGAAAAGCCTCCTGATAATCCTCAGTCAGTAGTAATTCTTTTAACTGCTACAAATGATACACCAAATCCCATGAAAGATTTTTTGTTTCAAGCAGCTGTTCCTAAGGTTTGTATATATATAATAAATTATAAAATACTTAGTTAATTCTGTGAAATTATTTGTTGTTTGATTTCAAAACATTTAGAAGAAATAAAACCAGAACATTCATTACTGGAAAGTTATATTGATCAATAATAATATATTATTAATGAAAAATAATTATTAAAAATTTGATATTTTTTGTTTTTGAGTTTAATTCTAACTTGCGTATTCTTCAGATCTGTAATATTTGTGTCATTTTACATACAATTTTTTTCCTTTTCTCTTTTGCAAGTTAACTTGATAGTTGTAAATTAAAAATGTATACATTCGACCCCCCCCCATAACGCGGTAGATATGTTCCACTTTATAAGAATTTTGCGTTGTAGAATCCTTAAATACATGAGCCAATCACAGCCCGGTACATGTGCAGGTTACGGACTATGGCTGTTTGAAAGGTTTTCTTCCATAAAATTAATCAATTCTAGACTAATTTGACTCAACATTTCCAAAACACACAATTTTTTGGGAATAATCAGTATAAACTATGCTATAAACAAAAAATTGTAGGATTACTTACCGAGTGTGCACTGTTCAACAATGCCATTGCTTAAGCTTGTTTTCGTCGCAGAGCAGTGCACCAAATGGAAGACGCATTTTCTGATAAGTTATTTTTCTGCGAAAAATTTGTTGAACTTTGGAGACATCATTAATATAAATAATTTTAATGGACATTGAATAAGAAATATTTTTTCACAAGAAATGTATAAAATTACAGTAATGTATTAGACTTATAGTACCTAATTTATATACTGTACAGACGATAGTAAACTCAACTTACCCGCCTAAACTCTCCAAAGCGTGTAAGTAGTTCGGCTGCTCGTCCACTATTGGTCAAGATTCAACCAATCCTGTCACGACACGAGTCAGCAATGACGTTTTACCACATTTTACAAGTCTCTTTTAGCGTCTTTATATCAATACGGTCACAATTTTTTCGTCGCGATATACGAATCCGCATTATATGAACCCACATTATAGGGGGGTCGACTGTATTATGCTACCATAAATTACTTCTTAAATATTTCTGTATTACTTTATATTTTATTACTATCTAAAGCATCCAGCATTGCTTGAAAAACAGTAAGGAAGATGATGTAATGTATAATGCATGCAGATATGTTCAGTGATAGCACAGGAAATCTTGTTGGAGAGTTTAACATTATGCCATGAATAGTTTCTCTCATAGAAACTTCAAAAGTATATACACCTCAAATCCCATTTGTTTAGATAAATATAAGCCTAAACTATATCAGATCACTTTTTCAGACTAATTCTTGCTCCAAGTGGCTAATAAAGTTCTTCTTTCCATGATTTTCTCAATTATTTAATTAAATTCAAAATTAATTTCTAATCATTAAAATTTACACAAGACTGTGGCTTAACTGTTTAACCATAAGAACAAATTTGGGTGCATAATTTAAAAATTACCTGAAAAATAATCTGGCAATTTAGACTTAAGTTTAGTTCCTGAAAACAAATAAATAGTAAATTCATTGGAATGAAGGTGCAGATCAAAAGATGAATGTCACATGATGATAAACTGGATTGTATGCAAGATGTTTGATCTCCTTCTTATGAGCTAGTGCAACAACAGCAAATTTGACAATGTATGGTCATGCATTGTGGAGAATGATGAGTCCTGAAGACAGCATTCTGGGTCACTTGCTTTGGATAGCTGTGTGCAGATTATTGAATGTTTGGATGTCTGCTGGGCATTGATCATGGCATTGGAATCTTTAAACTCCAGTTTGATGGATCAGCATGTGAAGAATGCAGTCAGAATACCTTTTTTCGTTGACAGCTATGTTTTGAATTTGTTTGACTTGGACAAGCCAGCATATTTCCACAGACTTTTCTATAAGTTCAAAGTTGTGACACCATATTTTGTCTCCTGCCACTACACACTGTAGGAATTGTTCACTCTTATTGCTGTAGCACATCAAATGTTGCAAGTTGATATCCATTTGCTGTTTCTTATGGTGTTCAGTCAGCATGTGATACTCTGTATGATGACTGAACACCACAAGGAACATTCAGGAGAAATCCAGATTATAGGAGGCAATTTTCTATACTATACCAATGGAAAAGTTTAACTTATTTGTTAAGTCATGGATGCTTCATCTACGGTTTACCTTGTTAGCTTCGTCAATGTCTGTAATCAGACTATTGGTCATGTGGTTGTGTGTCTAACCTGGTTGCACAGCAAATTCAAAGTTTCCTCTCAGTCCTCACAGAACATTTGCAACAAATCAGTAATGGTCTTCAACATGCATTTTTCTCCATATCCAGTGACCATTCTCCAATGAATCGCCACTGGCTTGTATCCCTGTCATAAACTGAATTACCACTTGCTGATCCTGCTAGGACTGGTTTCTAAGAACACTTCACATGCAACACACACATACACAGCTCCACTTAAAGTGTGTTCCAAATCTCAGCTGTAAACTCATCATGTAGTTCTCTTCAAACTGTTTTAAACACATCTCATATATCAAACTTTACTAATGGTGGAATGATCAATGTACAGAACTGACTTTCTTCAATGTATCTACTTTTGATTTGATATGGAAAATTTAGCTCATTGATGATTTAAACAAAAATACAATAAGTTCATTTACTTTTACAAAAATTAATTTTCTTGAATTGTAATCAATAAAAACTAGTACTAATTCCTTCAGTATTCTGGGAAATGGAGGATAATTTTGATTAATTAAGTTTTTACTGTAATATATTTCTATATTTGATTAGTAATATAATAATTTAAAAATTTGTAAGAACCTATTATTTTAAATTAATGATGTTTTATAACATCATTAATTTAAAATAATACTAAAATATATTGGCAGGGTTTTATTATATCAAAATACTCTGATATGCCCGATATGCCACTTAGTAGCCCTGCTAGCACAGTATTTTTCTTGGAAAACTAAACAAAAGAGAGATGAATTTGGATATTTTTGGCTTTTCCATACATGACCATTCATGTTTGGTTTCCTTTATCAGCTGTCAATCATGATTAAGAAACACAAGAAACCTTTTAATTAAGAATACAGACCTTCTCTTTCCCTCTCTCAGTCAATCGTGTCAAATTGGCTCGACCACTCATATGGACCACCTGTTTCAACAAGGGGTGTATCGCTGCCATACAAAATGACAAGACAGAAATTCTTCATTCCCTGCCTCATGTCCCACTCCACTTTTGTCTTTGTGGCCATTGACTGACTGGAGACAGATGGAGCACTTGCCCTTTTGTTCCGCAGTGTTTGATTCAAGATGCCATGAATGGAATTGATGCTTGCTAAGAAAATTGATCTGCTAGATCAAATTAGAAGAGAACCCCTAGCACCAGCTACCGATGGAGATGACGGGTGTGTCTTGAAACACAATCTCATGTTTGATAAAGCAGGAAGACAAGTTTTGAGAAGAAAGACTGCAAAGAAAACCGAGGAACAATCCAGAAATGGAAGGCAGTGTGATGGCAAGGATCCAGAAGTTGGTGATGCTCTCAATCAATGGTTTTTTGCTGTAATTGCAAAAGGTGTTTGTGTCAGTGGTCCAATGCTCAAATGTCACAGAGGTCCTCGCTAAGAAGCTGAATTACCATAATTTCAAAGCAACAGATTGTTGTCTCGATGGAAATTGAGGCATGAAATCAAATTTCGGAAAGCTCACGGTGAGAAGGAAAGAGCCAATGCTGCAAGTACAGATGAATGAAAAAACACCAAATTGCCCGAACTTCTGGAGAAATTTTCTCCAGATGACATCTACAATGCAGATGAGACTGGACTTTATTATTGTGCTACGTTGCTTTATCTGATTCCAAGAAAGCAATGGACCGAATAACTGTTATGCTGCTCAAACTTGTCAGGTAGTGACAAATGGAAGCTGTTTGTCATTGGGAAAAGTGTGAAGTCCCAATGTTTTGAAAGTCTTCTAATGGATGCCTTGCCAGTGGTTTACAGTTAAACAAAAATACATGGATGACTTCTGACCATTTTAAGGAGTGGCTTAAAACGTGGGACCAAGCTTGAGAAAAGTTGTCTTGCTGTTGGACAACTGTGCCACACATCATTTGGATTGCCTGAAAAACATCCCGAATGAATTTTTGCCTCCCCAGACCACTTCTTTGAGACATCCAATGGATATGGGGATCATAAAGTACTTGAAGATGCTGTACCATGGACAACTGGTAAATTTTATTCTCCAAGCAATTAAAGATCTACTAACATCATCTTCAGCCACCATCGAAGTAAGCTCAAAGGTCAACATTTTACAAGCAGTCCAGTCCCTAAATGACAGTTGGTAGAAGATAAGCAGCAAGATGATTCAAACTGCTTTGGTCACAGTGGCTTAAAGCACTCAAACTCAACAATGCAAACAGTGGCAGTAGACAGCAATGAGAATGATGTTAATGCAGAAGTGCAACAAGTCTGTCAATACAATGAGTTTTTACAAGTTAATGACAATCTTCAATGCCACAAAGAAAATGAAGATCTGGAAAGACTGGATTGTGGCAGAAATCACAACAAAACATCAAAAGATCTGAGAAAACCAAGAAAGTGACAAAGATGACATTCCTGAGCCTGAGCTATAACAAGCCACAATGCCAGATGTTACTTCTTGCTGGAAGGCAATGAAGGCAGACCTATGTCTGCACTGGATATCTGTGCAGATTTTGTTTTGGTGCAGTCAATCAAAAGAAGACATCAGGTCACACTGGACAGATTCCTACAATAAATCTGGGAAGAACACTTAATCATTTTGTACAACACAGTGTAAGGATGATGCATGTGAAATTAAAGATTAGTGAGAGAATCTTCCCATTTTCTAGATTGTACTGCAATGATTTTTTTGTACAGAAATAATTTTTCGTCATTAAAATGGTTTTATTGGTGAGAGCATGCATTGACGTAGCTCTTTAACATGACTCGTTATATCATAACTTATTGGAATGTTCATTTAGT